GCAGGTCAAAGTCAGAAAAACAAACAATCCAATCAAAAAATGGGCAAAAGATCTAAACACACATTTCTCCATAGTCATACAGATGGCCAATAAACACATGAAAAGATGCTCAACATCACTCATTATTAGAGAAATGCATATCAAAACTAGGGCTTCCCAGGTGGTACAGTGGTAAAGAATTAGCTTGTCAATACATAGGTTCCATCCCTGGGTCTGGAAGATCCCCTGAAGTAGAAAATGACAACCCATTCTGGTATTTTTGCCTGGGAAACCCCATAGACAGAGAGGAACCTGGCAGGCTACAATCCAAGGTGTCCCAAAGGAGTCTGACATGATTTAGCGACTAAACAACCACAACAATACATAATAATGCATATACATGGAATCTATAAAAATGGTACTGATGAACCTATTTTCAGGGGAGGTATACAGACCAGAACTGTGGACACAGCAGAGGAAAGAGAGGGTGGGACAAATTGAGAGAGTAACATTGAAACAGATAGACTACGGTGTGTGAAAGAGATGGCTAGTGGGAAGTTGCTGTGTGATGCAGATACCTCAACCTGGTGGTCTGTGACAACCTAAAAGGGTGAGACGGGGGTAGGTGGGAGGAAGGTTCAAGACGCGGCGGGGGCGGGGGGGGAATATATGTATACTTATAGGTGATTCACGTTGTTCTACGGCAGAAATCAACACAACATTGTAGAGCAATTATTCTCCAATTAAAAACAAATTTGAAAATTAAAGCTTACAGGGTAACTTCAAAAAATTAGATACACACAAATACATATAAAATAGACACACAAGTCCTACTGTATAGCACAGGGAATTTATTCAATATCCTGTCATAATCTATAATGGAAAAGAATATGAAAAAACATACATATGAATAATTGAATCACTCTCTTGTGCACCTGAAACTAACACAATGCTGTAAATCCACTGTTTCAATAAAAAAATAAAATGAATTTAAAAAAGTGTCCAAATCAGAAAAAAATCTTTGAAAAATAAATAAATAAATTCTGGGGTGGAGCCCAGCTCTGTCCTTTGACCGCTCTGTGGTGTCTGCCAAGTCCCTTCGTGAATCTCAGTTTCCTCATCTGTCACATGGGGTAACACCAGCATCCTCACCAAACTTAAGGGGTTGATATGGAGACGTCTGTCAAAAGGACAAGATGGACCGTGGGCAGCTGGCAACTGTACTGTGCTTTGTCCATGTGCTGACTGATCATCAGACCAACACCCCTGGTGTTGTAACCCAGCCCTAGTCTTGAGGGATGATCAGTTCAGTTCAGTCACTCAGTTGTGTCCAACTCTTTGTGAACCCATGGATTGCAGCACACCAGGCTTCCCTGTCCATCACCAACTCCCACAGCTTACTCAGACTCATGTCCATCAAGTCGGTGATGCCATCCAACCATCTCATCCTCTGTCATCCCCTTCTCCTGCCTTCAATCTTTCCCATTAACAGGGTCTTTTCCAATGAGTTAGTTCTTTGCATTAGGTGGCCAAAGTATTGGAGCTTCAGCTTCAGCATCAGTCTTTCCAATGAATATTCAGGACTGATTTCCTTTAGGATTGACTGGTTTGATCTCCTTACAGTCCAAGGAACTCTCAAGAGTCTTCTCCAGCACAACAGTTCAAAGCATCAATTCTTTGGTATTCAGCTTTCTTTATAGTCCAACTCTCACATCCATACGTCACTACTGCAAAAACCATAGCTTTGACTAGACAGACCTTTGTCGGCAAAGTAATGTCTCTGCTTTTTAATATGCTGTCTGGGTTGGTCATAGCTTTTCTTCCAAGGAGCAAGCATCTTTGAGGGATGGTAACAGGTGTTATTTGAGAAAATAAAAGTTTTTTCTACTTTAAAACTACATTGGCAGAATGCAAGGTTAATCGCGTTTAAACCTGCTCCTCACTGAGGACTTCTCAGAGACTGCAACGTCCTGTGAATCTCGTGCGAGTTTTCCACACCGTGTCTGGGCGGCCCTGAAGGCTCCCACACCACACCCTCTGATGGAAAGCCGCATTAGATAACAGGATGACCTCTGAGCGGAGGGCGAAGGCGTCAGACTTGGTGTCGCCTCCGATGTTAATGCTTGGATCACAGGAGATTGGAAGGACAAGTGAGTTCATTTAACCAATGAAGTGTTAATGTGGGATTACAGCCTGGAAGACAGAATGTTCTTGATACCAGAAAAACCCCAGGAGAAATCCCCGATGTGCATGATGAATCTGACCAAGATCTCCCAGAGTCACCAGTACACTTCCAGCGTCCACACAGGCCCCTGAAAGTCACATTTCTAACAAGAATCCTCTGTAAGCATAGTTCTCAGAGATCAGCTGGCCCATAGGAAAGGCCAACGCTGTAATAACAGACACTCAGTTCAGTCACTCAGTCGTGTCCGACTCTTTGCGACCCCATGAACTGCAGCATGCCAGGCCTCCCTGTCCATCACCAACTCCTGGAGTTTACCCAAACTCATGATCATTGAGTTGGTGATGCCATCCAACCATCTCATCCTCTGCTGTCCCCTTCTCCTCCTGCCCTCAATCTTTCCCAGCATCAGGGTCTTTTCCAATGAGTCAGCTCTTTGCATCAGGTGGCCAAAGTATTGGAGTTTCAGCTTCAGCATCAGTCCTTCCAATGAACACCCAAGACTGATCTCCTTTAGGATGGACTGGTTGGATTTCCTTGCAGTCCAAGGGACTCTCAAGAGTCTTCTCCAACACCACAGTTCAAAAGCATCAATTAAAAAAAAAAAAGCATCAATTCTTTGGTGCTCAGCTTTCTTTATAGTCCAACTCTCACATCCATACATGACCACTGGAAAAACCATAGCCTTGATTAGATGGACCTTTGTTGACAAAGTAATGTCTCTGCTTTTTAATATGCTGTCTAGGTTGGTCATAACTTTCCTTCCAAGGAGTAAGCATCTTTAAATTTCATCTGCAATCACCATCTGCAGTGATTTTGGAGCCCCCAAAAATAAAGTCTGCCACTGTTTCCACTGTTTCCCCATTTATTTGCCATGAAGTGAAGGGACCATTTTGAGTGTACTCTACCACAATAAAAATGGGGAGGGGGCAAAAAAATAATACACATTAAAAACCTTAGAATAGGACTTTTGCCTTGGTCATTCAATTTTTCCCATTCATTTGTCCACTGACACGTAGGTTGTTTTCATACCTAGACTATTCTGAGTAATGCTGCAATGAACATGGGAGACTAGACATTTCACTGAGATAATGACTTGATTTCATTTGGGTATACTACATACAAAGAAGTGGAATTGCTAGGTCATATAGTAGCTCTATTTTTAATTTCTTAAGGAAACTCCATACTGGTTTCCACAGTGACTACATGCATTTACATTCCCACCAATAGTGAACAAGAGTTCCCTTTTCCCTACATCCTCACAACTCTTGAAATCTCTTATTTCCAAATAGACATTTTCACAGGTATGAGGTGATATCCTACTCTGGTTCTGACTTACATTTCCAGGATGATCAGTGATGTTGAGAACTTATTCATATATTTCTGGGAATCTGTATGTCTTCTTGGAAAAAAAAGTCTAGGTAGGTCATTTACCCAGAGTGAATTATGGTATCTTACGGTGGAAGAACTCAGTGCTGGGCCCAAAACCAATGCTTTTAAATGATTTGTTGCCTGGGAAAGTGATCCCCACATACTGCTACTTAAAAAAACAACAGCAGAAGAGTAACTACAGTTGAAGTTCATCTTATTTGTAAACATAAACATGTACAGAAGAGAGAAAACTAAAAGAAAATATTACCACATCAAAGAATGTACTGCCTCTGCGCAGGCGATTATGAAAAATTTTGAAGTTGGTTTTTTCTCTTTTTGTGTTTTTAAGCTTTTCTGGGAACAATTTTTATAACTGGGAAAATCATTTTTAGAGAAATGTACATCTAAGGGAAAAAGGAAGAAAGGCATGATAGATAAGAGGTCCTATCTCAGTTCAGGTGAGAGCTGAGATGTTAAGGACCTTTAGGGTAAATGAATTTCTTTGAGTTAAGTGGTCCTTGACTTCCTACACTGACAGAGTCCCCAGCCTTCCTGGGAGATGCTGCCCTCCCTGCCAGCTTCAAACTCTGCACACCAGGTCACTGTCCTACTGATCGGGCCAAGGTGGCAGCCAGAACTCTGATCCATACAACTATAAGGTCTGGGTGGAGGTCCAGAGGAAGAAAATCAACCCTGTCTCCTGTTGCCTGGCAATAATTTCTGCAGTAAAGCTGTCAGAAATTACTGCTGCATCTCTCCACTGACAGGGAAGGGAGATTCTGAAAAAGATTCAGAAGACAGGAATAGGAAAAGGAAGCAATGACTACCTCTGTCCCACGGCAATTTCAGAAGTACAGCAGTTTATACATTTTGTGTCTGTGTCTAGCCCGCTGCCTGCGTTCGTTGATTTTAGTGACTGTAGAAATTCCATCCAAGGGCTTTCTTAGCTTCACTGCCAACAGCAGTGCCAATCCTATTTCCTGTTAGGTGTCAAGCTCTTCCATCAGGAGTTCTAGACTCCTCAGGGTCTCCAAGAGCCCAAGCACTGCCCCGGGAGCGGGGCTGGGGCGGTGAGAGGTGGCTGCCCCCTCCAGATTGACGTCTCTGCTCAGAGCGGAGGCAGCTCTGAAAGTCCCTATTTCCAAGATCACTGGTCACGGGGGTGAGGGTGGCAGATGCTCAGTGACTGGTTTACAGACCTTACTCTTCAACGATCTGAACTTCTCTTTGGTGCCAAGCCCTTCTCTGTCATCCTTTGAGTCAGTCTTCTGGGATGTCCCACTTCATTTATCCATTTCCACTCACCTATTCATCTCATTTTCCACTGAAGAGAATTTCATGGAGAAAAAGCAAACCCTAACAGTGATTTTTGTCTGGAACACCTTGGAGCTCCCTCAACCCCATGTGGCTACAATTCCGGGTCAGGAGTCAGAATCTGGCTGGGAGACCTAAGTTGCCTCCTCCCCACTCAGCATCTTGGCTGGTGACGGTTGTTGGGTCCTGGATGGACCACAGAACAGCTTTCTTCCTCGCCTGTGAAATGGACATGGCGTGAACCCTCTCCTGTCTCCTTGTGGAGGAAGCAGCGACATATAGTCAGTTGATAGAGCAAGTCCCATAGAGCCCTGTGGTACTTTCCGGGGGAAGAGACATACACTATGGGGTTGACGCAGCAGTGCACATATGCAGTCACCTCTGTCACTTCAATGGCCAAGTCCAGCTGGCTGCAGTGCTCACACAGGGAATCTTGGAAAGCAGAAACAAACACAGTCAGATTGTAGGGTGTCCAAAAGAGAAAGAAGGCGATCATGATGACAAAAATCAGACGCACGGTGGCCTTGGCCGTCTTATCTCGTCTTCTGAACAGAATCTTTATAATCGGTCTGTAGCAGATGATCATGACCAATAGAGGCAATATCAGCCCCAAGATGTTCAGTTTCAGAGCCAGGAACTGCCTCCACCTTCTGAAGCTTTCAGGAGGAAAATGAAGACTGCAGGTGTAGTGGGTGAACCACAACTGGGTCTTAGAAAAGTAGAAGACAGGGACAGAAGCCAAGATGGCCAAGACCCAGGTGACACTGGTGGTGATGACACGAAGGTGGGGGTACAAACCCTTAGGTGAGACGAGGTGCGGCTAAGCGACACGGTCCTGTGAATGGTCAGCAGCATGATGAAGAAGATCTCACTGTACAAGCCAATGAAGAACAGCCCAGAGAGCAACTTGCACATGGCCTCACCGAAAACCCAGTCATCCTTCACCTTGTAGTCAATCCAGAAGGGCAGTGTGAAGAGGAAGATGAGGTCAGAAATGGCCAGGTTGAAGAGGTAGATGTCAGTTACCTTTTTGAGCCTCTTGTATTTCACGAGGACCAGCAACATTAGGATGTTGCCGATCAGGCCTATGACAAACACCGCCGAGTACAAGGGGGGCAGCAGCTGGGCCCCAAAGGTCCTCTCTTCTACCGTGTCATGCAGGGTCTGGTCCCCATGGTCATATTCTGTGGTCACGTCATGGTCCTTTGCGGTGGTTGAAGTTTCCATCCTGGCTTCTGCCACGGGTCAAAGGAAAGTTTCCTGTGTGTATCTGCTGTTAAAGGCAGTGGGCTCTGGACAACAAAAATAAGGCAGTGAGTACACATCCTTCACCTCTGGACAACTGTTTACTGAGTGCCGGCTGTGTACACGCCGTGTGGGGCAAGGGAGACCCAGGTCCTCTGGACTTGATGCAACCCGGAGTCTACCACACTAACAAACACGGCGTGCACACATCGCTAACTCAAGGGCTCTGGCAGTGAGCGCTCTGAAGGGGACGTCCAGAGGAGGGAGAGCGCACACGGGGGGGAACAAGGGGAGGCCTCACGCATGTTCCCGACCAAGCCTTCCTGAGAGCTTCCCATGGGCTCGGCGTTGGACTCAGTGTTAAGCAGCCCTTGAATGGGTACCATGGTCGTTCCCCGTTTTAGAGCTGAAGGCGCACACGTCGGGGGCAGTCAGGACACAAAGCTGCTGACAGCAAGAGCTGGAGCTCAGACCCAGGTGTTCAGGCCCATTCCTGAAACCCCCTGCCCCTCCTCCCCAGTCTCAGAGCAGTGACTCTGCGCTGTGGGGTCCCCAGAGGAGGCCGGGAAGGAAAACAGTTCTGGCTGAGAGTCAGAAACTGGCCGACAGATCTTTCTGGCAGATTCTCAGCCAGGGGTGATGGAGTGCCGTGGGGGCAGGCCAACATGAATGTCTGTTCGGGCGTCACAGACACTGGGGACGTCACTGTCGTTATGTAGCCAGGGCCGAGGATGTACTGCGATGAGAAAATCACCAACAGTGCTGCCACAGCGAGAGCCTAGGAGGCCAACCCATCCCCCGGGCTGACCCGGGTACTCTGAAGGCCTCTGAGACAGCCGTGAGGAGGAGTCAGGGACAGTCCGGGAGGACTCTGGTGACCTGGTAAGGAGAAGCTGGGGCTCTGGGGGAAGAAAGGCTCAGAATAGCTTCAAGACATGGAGTGTCACACAGTGACCAGACACAGCTCAGTATTCTCCTAAGTTTTTAGATATTTTTAACTAAGGTTGCCTCAAAACAAAAACAAACAAAAACCACTAGATAGCCTGGCTTTGTAGAACATCTCCAGCTTCTTCTTTTTAGCACTCTTTTCCATTCTTTACAATCACTTACTGAAGAACCTCCCCAAGGGAGGAAGTCTTTTCGTCTAACCTGTTGGTTCAGTGATATCACATAAGCTAACCTACTTCTTTGAACCTCAGTTCCTCTCTGTACCTAGAGAAACTAATCCTTTTTTTGCAGGACTATTGTTAGGCAATGTCTGACCTTTCACCTGGAAATTATCAGGTCCTCAGTAAATATTAGGGGACCTCCTTCCCTGCAGGCGCCCTTCTCCGAGGCCCAGCACCACCAGGAATGTCCCAGGTTTCAATCCTATTCTGGCCAATATATCACACTCCCTACAGGTCTGTCTGTAGTTAATCTGGAAAATGAATTCTGCTTGAGAGTGATGGACATTGACAGTCCTTTCCATCTGCACTACACTGTGAAATTTCCAAAATGCTGCCATCAAACTAACTGATTTGACCTAAACATCGATCAGTAAAGTGAGTGGTACCTGCAGCATAATTTCCATCTAAAATCTTCAGACTCCAGTGCTCCTCCTTCCACAGTGCTTAATGAATGTTTCCTGCTCACAGAATTCATGTTTCTGCAGTGGCATTGTGAGATTAAAGCACAGGGGGTAATGCTGGTCCCCGTGACTGTGGGGGTGGTCCTTTCCCATCAAATCCATCCCTATGGCTTGCTCTCCCATCTCTGAACTTGCATACACCCAGTCAAGTCTCTTCCCAGAGAAACCCAGGCTGCCACTCACTAAACAAGCTGTGTTGGCAATTTCTGATTTCTGCTGCCACTGCCAGTGCAGACAGCTCCGTGTGGCAGTCAGTACTTCTGGGTGGGTGGGTTCTCAGGCTTACTGTTAGCAGTGGCAGCATGGACAGCAAAGGGTGGAAGGCTGAGCCTGTAAGCCAGTTTCTGGAATTCTGGCAAAGGTGCTTCTTGGTTCATCTACTTCAGTAGTACATGAAATGAGAAATTCCAGGTGTTCAAGCTGGATTTAGAAAAGGCAGAGGAACTGAGATCAAATTGCTAACATCTGTTGGATAATAGAAAAAGCAAAAGAGTTCCAAAAAAACAGCTATTTCTGCTTTATTGACTACACCAAACAAAGCCTTTGACTGTGTGGATCACAATGAACTGTGGAAAATTCTTAGAGAGACGGGAATACCAGACCACCTGACCTGCCTCTTGAGAAATCTGTATGCAGATCCAGAAGCAACAGTTAGAACTGGACATGGATCAACGAACTAACTCCAAATTGGGAAAGGAGTATGTCAAGGCTCTATATTGTCACCCTACTTATTTAACTTATATGCAGGGTACATCATGTGAAATGCTGGGCTGGATGAATCACAAGGTGGAATCAAGATTACCAGGAGAAATATCAATAACCTCAGATATGCAGATGACATCACCCTTATGGTAGAAATCGAAGAGGAACTAAGGAACCTCTTGATGAAAGTGAAAGAGGAGAGTAAAAAAGCTGGCTTAAAACTCAACATTGAAAAAGCTAAGATCACGGCATCTGGTCCCATCATTTCATGACAAATTGATGGGGAAACAATGGAAACAGTGACAGACTTTATTTTTTTTGGCTCCAAAATCACTGCAGATGGTAACTGCAGCCATGAAATTAAAAGCCACTTGCTCTTTAGAAGAAAAGCTATGACCAACCTAGACAGCATATTAAAAAGCAGAGACATTACTTTGCCAACAAAGGTCTGTCTAGTCAAAGCTACAGTTTTTCCAGTGAGATGTGAGATGTGAGATGTGAGATGAGTGGATGTGAGAGTTGGACTATAAAGAAAGCTGAGCACCGAAGGATTGATTCTTTCAAACTGTGGTATTGGAGAGGACTCTTGAGAGCTCCTTAGACTACAAGGAGATCAAACCAGTCCATCCTAAAGGAAATCACTCCTGAATATTCATTGGAAGGACTGATGCTGAAGCTCCAATACCTCGGCTATCTGATGCGAAGAGATAACTCATTGGAAAAGACCCTGATGCCGGGAAAGATTGAAGATAGGAGGAGAAGGGGACGACAGAGAGTGAGATGGTTGGATGGCATCACTAACTCAAGGGACCTGAGTTTGAGCAAGCTCCAGGTGTTGATGACGGACAGGGACTCATGGCATATTTCAGTCCACGGGGTCGCAAAGAGTTGGACACAACTCAGCATCTGAACTGAACTGGAGGTAAACCACGTCAGCACTGTCAGGGGTCATCTGGACAGAGTCACCTTCACACCCACTCCCACTTTCAAGCCAGATCACTATTTCCCCACTTCTTGGGCACCAGAAACAGCTCCTAGGCACACTGTCCCTAGAGGGAGATGGACTGGAGTGAGGCCCTGGAGGCGACACCCAAGGAGCATGCCATGCCATGTGCCAGTCCATCTGCAGCCTGCTACTAACGTCTGCCCCAGGCCGTTGCCCCAGTGGTCCAGTGCCAGCATCCTTTATTCTGGGAGTTGGTGAAGCCTCTGGATAGACCAAGGGCTGTCTGTGGTGGTGGAAGACACCCAGGCCTTGGTGGGGTGCAGGAGCTGGCTTCTTCTGGCTCATCAGAGCCAGCTGTGTGCAGCTGTTCTGCATCTAGCATGCTGGTGACTCAACATCAACCAGAATGGGAATACTGACACATGGGAATCGGCCAACACTAGGAATCAGGGCACTTTTCTCGGGAGAATTAGCTGATAAACACTTGCCAGTGCATCCATGCCCTTCAGTCTGAATAGCCTAGAGTTGTCCTGGAGCCAGAGTGGGGACTTAAGGATCAGTGAGGGGCAGAGAGCCTGGTGGTTGGCTGTGCAAACTTCTGGGGATTTCTAATCCTGAAAGTCTGGGACCTTCCAGATCTACTGGAGGAAAGGCTGAAGTAGATACCTCCAAGTAGTCCCCATGTTCCAGGATCTTCAGAACAAAATTCTGACCTCCCCTCTTCTTTAGAACAGAATGGATGCTCCCCCAGGAAGTCACGTGAACGGCTGCCTGCCTTCCGGCGGGTGAGATCCTACCTCCTCCTAAGACAGCACACAGTCCTAATTCTGAGGAGCCTTGTGTCTAGTCCTCTTCACAAACTGCCTCAGTATCAAATCATCTTTGCACCTGCAATTGTTTCTCTGATTATTACCCTTTTTGCTAAAATTGTTTCTTAACGGCACATTTGGGCTTTGTTTCCATGGGGAAATTTGACTGTTGTTAGTGTCTTGAATAACTGTCCGCAGAAAGTACCTTAATACTGGGATGACTTTCTTAATCACTCACCAGAAACCACTGTAAAAGAAAGCATCCTGTTTTTAGCAGAAAGATAATCTCCCCCAAAACAAAAAGAACACCCTAGTTTACGTCTGAGCACCCAGTTGTATAAATCCATGCATCCTCAGTATTGCTATGCAATTTGTTGCTTTTCAGAAACATCACTGGGTCCTTAGACATCTGACTGGCCCTTGAAGAATTCCCCACCTCTGACAAGACAGACAGGTAAACAAGTCATGTCCTGCAACGGGAGGACTACAGTCTACCCGGTCCACGTGCCAACAATAGTACCCTCACTAGTAACTAACAACACAGAAAAGACAAGTGTCACTTACTCTGGCTTCAGAGGACTGTGTCCGTGAGGCATGTGTCTGGAGGATATTCCTCTCTTCTCTTCTCTGGACCACCCTGGACTTCCAGATCAAGTAATTAATATCAGGAAGCAGAAAAGTAGCATCTGGGACTTTAGAACTCCTCTGCCAGCACTTCTGGTAAATTGCCAGGCTTGCACACCAAGGCCACTAGACATGGTCCATTTGGAGAACCTTTCATTCCCATCTAGGCATTTTCTACAAGAATATCCCAGTTGTGAGATGCTGCTTTGACCAAGGCCACAACCAGCTTAGCAGGACTTGGACATCCGTTTGAGCCTAGGGCTCTTTGTTT